TTAGAGGCAATGGATGACGTCACTCCACCCATTTGATTTTAGGTCTCAGCTCGAGCATTGGATTGAAATCATGCTAAAGGTGAGTTAAAGTCCCTACTTTCCCTTTGGGTTCTTCCTCCTCACCTTTGCTTTTTCTTCTTTTTCCCTTCTTCTTTACCGCAGATCCCCCCTTTTTCACCTTTTTAGAAAACTGAAAAATAGAAACTGAAGATAAGGTAGCAGAGAAGTGTGGGTGGGTGACGGCGCGTGGAGAGGGAATGAGGAGGCAGCGGCGCGTGTGGATAAAGATTGGACTGATAGATGATGATCAGTATTAGAAGGTCAGACCAGATAATTTAATCAAAGAAAAAAAAAGGAAATATATGAAGAAGATAATCAGATATCATGGGACGTTGGAATTTCACATTTTTGTTATTTTTGTATGTGTTTCCGAGTGGATGTTTTTTTCCACTGACGGCGACTATTTTAGGATGAGAGTCTTTGGAAATGAAACAGAATGATTAATTAGTAGACAACCATTATGAAAAGAAAATTAGAATTTATATGTAAACCCTCTTGGGAAAGACATTTTTTTTGACATTAGTCCTTTGTTTATTGTTTGTAAGAAAATTAGTCCTTTGTTACCTTAATCCTTTGTGATTTAAAAATTATGTCACATCTCACGTTTTAATTAAGGGAAAATAAATATTTTATTTTTTGAAGGGATGTAAAGTAATTACTCAAATTTGCATATGTGAGATGTATTCCAAACTTAAATTAAAGAAAAATATTAGCATTATAAATCATATTAAATATTCCGTATGTTTTTTCTTTGTGAGCATATATGAGGATGCAGTTACAGCTTTCACTTATGAAATAAACAGTATGGGGTATTACATTTGATCTACATAGTTGCAAGGATTTTAATTTGATATTTGCCAACAAACCATTTTCACCATGAGCACATTCAATTGACTAGTAGTAAAATTATAAGGGACGCATGTTGAAATTTTGATAGTGAGACACTAAGACGAATTTTTTATATGTACATACAAATCAAGTAGTTAGTACATTAGAAAATAAAATGCAGTGATAGTGTAAATAAAATGCAGTGATAGTGTATGTTTGGCATAACTAACTTAAAAGATACTTTTACAGATTTTTTAGTAACTGTTAGCTTTTAGTTACTGAAAAGATCTTAAAAGTAAAAGGTTGTAGATTAGTTACTGAAAAGATCTTAAAAGTAAAAGGTTGTAGATGTTTGGTAAAAAGTTGACAGTTTGGTTTAGTTCTGTTTGGTATACAAGCTATTGAGACTAACTAATGCTAAAAGTCACGGACATTTTTCAGATGTTACTCCCTGTAGCATCTCAAAAAAGTTTTTTTTTTTGAAAAGCTGTTAAAATTTGTCATACCAAACATATAAATAAAGTTTTTAGAGACTTTTTAAATAGTATAAAAGCTAGAAGGCAGAGACTTGTGCCCGCCAAACATAGCCATAATAGAATATCATCATTGCGTAAAAATAAAAGTAGAATATGTAAATCGAATAAAAGTTATAATGTTTTAATTGAACAAACACATAAAATATGAACCATGGAGTAGAGGTCCATACGTTCTCCGCTCTTCAATAGTTGTGACAATATGAATTTTACACAATTTATATATTGGAAAAATTGAAATTAATAATCTTAATTATTGTCGGTCAGCTACTAATAATCTCAATTATTAATTATTTTTGTGAAAAATGGTCAAATATGCCCTTCTATTATTTTCATTTCGTCACTTAAGCCCTGCACTAAAAAAATCATATAAATACGTTTACTTTTAAAATACAATCAATCAACCAATTTGATCTGCTATTGCAAGTTGTTTTTTAATATTAAATTAGAAATATGGATGAATCTTACAAAAATTCATATAAATTTGATTAAATCATCTAATAATAATATAAAAATAGTATAAATGTAAAAATAGAAAAAAATTTAAAAACATTAAAAAAAATTAAGAAAAATGAAAAAATAAAGTGAAAATAAAAAATTAAAAATTAAAAAACCTTTAAAATAGGGGAGATTTCTCAAATAGGAGTAAATGGAGTTTGAAATTCCAAAATAGAAATACTATATTTTTATTTCCGAAACAGGACTAACATGACAATATTTACTCACATCTTGTAGGCGTAATTGACAAATAGTTGCAGTACCGTGTATTTAACATGACTATATTTACTATAATTAATGGCATTATTTTACGATCATGACAATATTTCTCATACATGACAGTAGTAACTCCAATTTCGGAAAAAAAACATAGTAGTCCTATTTTGGAATTCCAAACCTCATTTACTCCTATTTAGGGCAATTTTCATTAAAATAGATGTAGAATATACAAATATTTTTAAAAATTAAAAATATGGACTTTGATTTTATGAAAATTTTCACATTTTTTTGTATATAATTATTACAATTTTAACAATTTTTAGAGTTTTAAAATATTAAAATGTGCTATTAAAGGTAAAAAACTGATTAAATGGTCGAATTGATCAATTTTGTAAAGTAGGCGAACTTATATGATACGGAGTATTTTTTAGTACATGGGCTTGAGTGTGAGATTTTTGATAGTATAAGAGTTTATTTGACCTTTTTTCCTTGTTTTTGTGTAATCCAAGTTATACGGACTACCTGCCAATAATGGTCCATGAACGTGTATAGTCTTCCATAACAAGTCATTTTTAAATAGAATGTAAATGTATTCTATAAAAATCTAAACTATGCTCATTCTTCTTTTAATAATCTTATGAGTTTTTTACAAGAATATTACTAAAATAAAACATATTTACATAAATATGACTATTCATTACTACAACAATGTGGTGTTGTGGTAACTTAAGCACAAATTTGAAAATGAATTACTATGATTTCATTATAACTCTAGTCACTAATAATATTTTCGTAAATCGTCTTTGTTTTGGTCATATTTATGTAATTATTTCTAATCTTATCCATCAACTCAACGTTTTTACAAAAAAGTAGAAAACTTTATTGAAATTTCAAACTTTGAACTTTATAAATTGAAAGTTTGACTAAATATAAAAACTATTGCGTTTTAGAAATAAAAAAACGTTACACTTTTAATATTTAATAAATAATCAGTTTTGGATTCTTTTACAAATTCACGATTTTAATGATTTTTAACAAATCTAAAGTGATTTAATATTCTAAGATGATTAGATTTTATTAATATTTAAAAATAGTATTACTCCATCCGCCCCTTGATAAAAGATAATGTTTCCTTTTTGGGCTATCCCTATATAATAAAGGTTCATTCCTCTTTTTGGCAAACAAAGCAGTGCAAAACAGTGTCCAAATAGTGTCCAAACAGTGCCAAACAGTATTCCTTCTTAGTTTGTGTGCCAGTCAAACTATGCCATTTTTATAGGGACAGAGGTAGTAGTATTTTTATGTTTATCACTTTCTTATTTTTGAAAATAAATGTTTATACCTTTTTAATTTGAATTTGTAATTAATTTGAATTTTATTTTTTCCTTTAAAATATTTATATTGACTTTTTACTCTCCCTTATATATTTTATATTCCTTTTATATTCATAATATCTTACATGTTATGAAATTTTAATTTTGAAATTTATATAAGTTTTTCTATATCCTATAATTATATATTTTATATTACTTAATTCCACAAACTACCTAAAAGCTAATTAACTAAAAATATTGTAAATCTTTTCTACAGTTTCTATTTATTTATGGAAATTTAAATTTAATTTTTTGGGTCCAACATAAGTCAATAGATAATAGTTTGGATTATTATAATCTAATAGAGAAAGTTCCCAAAATACGACTAAAACAATTTGAAAATTCCAAAATAGGACTGCCATGTTTTTTATTCTCAAAGTATGAGTAATTACTACCAAGTTTGGAAAATACTGCCGTGTTTGAAGTCTGATACTGCCAAAACATGATAGTAATTAGTCCTATAGTGAGAATAAAAACATGATAATCATATTTTGGAATTTCCAAACCTTTTTAGTCCTATTTCGGGTAATATCTCAATCTAATATTACTTTTTTAATTAACTGTACATGTAGCCGATTATTGGTGGAATGTCTCTAAAGTTGGGATTATTCTGAATAATCAATAGTTGGAACAATTATGAGCGAAACACTCATAATTGAGATTATTATCAATTTTTACTTATATATTTTACTCTAAGTTTTACTAGTCATATACTCTAATTAGATTGTACATTACTTATTAATGTATTAAATAATTGTTCTATATAAAATATTATACAATATGTCTCATATAAAAATTTAAGAAAGGTGTTTTATAAATTTTACTAATAGTCAATTAATCATGTTAATGGTGAAAGTGTGTGTTGACAAACATCAAATCAAAAGTGTACTCCGTATATTTCACCAATGGAAGCAATGTTAACGACATCCCCATATATGCTTAGAGTGCGTATTTTAAATTATTTACATGTGTGATAGAAAATTGTCATAGACTCATAGTGTTAACAACTCTTTTTATATAAGGTTTGATGTATTTATATTACATATCCAAGTTTGAATTATATAACTCAACACTCCCAACGTTTGGGATAATTAAATTAGTTTTCCCTTTAATTAATAATGACATACCTCTATAAATTAAAGAAAGAAATTTAGCAATTTGAAATCATGTGTCTTTATCACAAAGAAGAGGAGGAGGAGATCGTTTAACCCATCCTCTACTTTGAACCCCCTTCATCTCCTTTTCCACATTTAACCCGCTATTTAACTCACCACTGCACTAAAGTAGGAGGGCTGGTCCTAATATATGGGCAGGCTGGGTGGCTGCCTAGGGACGACCACCAGGAAGAGGGACCCATAAATTATTTAGTAGTGGTAGTGTGTGTGTCGATATATATATATATATATATATATATATATATATATATATATATATATATATATATATATATATATATATATATATATATATATATATATATATATTGAGTCTCGTTCACCTCAGGCACACTTAATCAGAAGTACTGTACGACCAAACCAATTTTAGGTGCTTTCGGATGAAATTGCTTGATCAAAGTTTGTGATTATGTTTTTCATTAAGTGTAGATTACGCCCACAAAATTTTTGCTTAAAGATCATTCGAGAAGTCTGTTAAATAAATTATTGAAAAACAATGCGCTTCATATTTGTTTGAAAAACGTAGTGTTTTTCAATAATTTATTTAACTAAATTCCCAAGCGAATTCGAAATTATTTTTTTGTAAATTTTTGCCAGACCAGACACTTCGAAATTATTATTGAAAAACAATGCCCAGACCAGACACTTCGTCTGGATCGTGCCGTCATTCAATTTTTTTCGTCGGTTCTTTATTGTCATTTTTCCATAATCGTGTCGTCATTTTTCATAAGAGGGCCCACACCATGGATCGAATTGGTTCTGATACCATGTGTTGAGTTTCATCCAACACGATATAGTAAATATATGTATGAACACTCAGTTTTTACGTGGAAACCCGGAAGGGAGAAAACCACGGGACTTTTTAGGCTAATGTCCAAGCCCTCTCTTTCTCATTAGGACTCTCCTCACCATTACATAGTACATTTTGAGCTCCCATTAATGGGGTATTGTAAGCTATTCTAGTGAGAAGGAAGAAGAAGGAAAAGATCCAAAGGGATCCATAATATGGAAGCTAAGCTCCCTATTTATAGACAAAGGGGAAGGGGTGCTCTCCACCCTAATGGGCCAAACGGGCCAACATCGGGCCTAAATGGCTAAAGTGGGCCGGATGGGCCGAAATGGGCCTAGCTGCTCGGGCTCCGTACTACGTAAAGCCTTGGACTCATGAACAGTAATAGGCCGGGATAATATATCCCAACACAAGTCCCCCAGTTTCTTGAGTAGTGAGCTCGCGAATCTGCTCGAGAAAATATACTCTGCCTACGCTCTTCCTCTGTCTTGCTGGAAACTGTGTCTTCACATAATCGTCATATAGGAGTGAGTGTCTGCACTCCTGAACGTAATCTACCAGTGAGGCACCCCCCTTCCCGACAGGGTCGGGCGAAGGGTGCTCCTCCACGGGCACACTCCCCCTGAATGCATCAGGCGGGAGTAAAGGACTCTGACTCGAGCTTTCCAATCGGAGAAGCTTAGAGGTCCATCATCTATAAACCGACGTCGCGGTACTGTCAAAACATGATGCACGTGTGTATGTATGAATGTATGAGGTATGATGCATGAATGTATGTATGCATGTAATGTATGTATGTAATGTATGAGAGAGGGAATGCAAGATGTGATAGAAGCAGTAGCTCTCATCGATAACCCGGGCATGTCAGCGCCGAGAAGCAGACGCGCTGCGTAAGACGGGTCCCCCATCCGAGATGGCATGGGCGGAGCCGAAGGTGGACTAGACATGATGCCGCCGAGGGGCCAATCATGCTGCATACGACGGGTCCCCCATCCGAGATGGCATGGGCGGAGCCGGAGGTGAACTAGGCATGATGCCGCCGAGGGGCCAATCGAGCTGTATAAGAGATGTTCGTCGCCATCCTGGAAGGGATGGGCGAGCCGAACACGATCCAGACACGATGGCGCTGGGGCGCTGATCGTGCTGCATATGAGACGTTCGTCGCCATCCTGGAGGGGATGCGTGATCCGAACGTGAAAGAGACACGATGGCGCTGAGGGGCCGATCGTGCTGCATAAGACGGTCGTCGCCATCCTGAAGGGAATGTGCGAGCCGAACCGTGAAGCCAGGTACGATGGCGCTGAGGGGCCGATCGCACTGCATAAGACGTTCGTCGCCATCCTGGAAGAGATGCGCGATCCGAACGTGAAAGGGACACGATGGCGCTGAGGGGCCGATCGTGCTGCATAAGACGGTCGTCGCCATCCCGGAGGGAATGTGCGAGCCGAACCGTGAAGCCAGGTACGATGGCGCTGAGGGGCCGATCGCACTGCATAAGACGTTCGTCGCCATCCTGGAAGAGATGCGCGATCCGAACGTGAAAGAGACACGATGGCGCTGAGGGGCCGATCGTGCTGCATAAGACGGTCGTCGCCATCCCGGAAGGAATGTGCGAGCCGAACCGTGAAGCCAGGTACGATGGCGCTGAGGGGCCGATCGCACTGCATAAGACGTTCGTCGCCATCCTGGAAGAGATGCGCGATCCGAACGTGAAAGAGACACGATGGCGCTGAGGGGCCGATCGTGCTGCATAAGACGGTCGTCGCCATCCCGGAAGGAATGTGCGAGCCGAACCGTGAAGCCAGGTACGATGGCGCTGAGGGGCCGATCGCACTGCATAAGACGTTCGTCGCCATCCTGGAAGAGATGCGCGATCCGAACGTGAAAGAGACACGATGGCGCTGAGGGGCCGATCGTGCTGCATAAGACGGTCGTCGCCATCCGGAGGGAATGTGCGAGCCAAACCGTGAAGCCAGGTACGATGGCGCTGAGGGGCCGATCGCACTGCATAAGACGTTCGTCGCCATCCTAGAAGAGATGTGCGAGCCGAACCGTGGAGCCAGGTACGATGGCGCTGAGGGGCCGATCGCACTGCATAAGACGTTCGTCGCCATCCTGGAAGGGATGCGCGATCCGGACGTGAAAGAGACACGATGACGCTGAAGGGCCGATCGTACTGCATAAGACGGTCGTCGCCATCCTGGAGGGAAATGGGCGATCCGAACCGTGAATCAGGACACGATGGCGCTGAGGGGCCGATCGTGATGCATAAAAATAGTGATGATCATCTCATGGCCCTCGGCCTCTCGCGGCCCTCGGCCGTGCTGGTGATGTGTCAAGTCTCTCTCCTGATTGGCTGTGAGAAACCGATCGTCTGCCAGGACTCCATCCGGGAAGGAATGGTGAGCCTGAAAATAAATCTGGGCAATGTCTCTCCTGTCTGAGCTGGGGAGCTAATCGTCGTTCGTCTACCGTATCCGTGGTCCTATGTACGGACCGCTAAGCGGTGTACACTCGGCACGCACAGACTCCGATAAAGAACTGGTTCTTCGTGTCTGATCCATGAAGCTGGTCTTCGTTCGTCTACCGTATCCGTGGTCCTATGTATGGACCGCTAAGCGGTGTACACTCGGCACGCAACAGACTCCGGTAAAGAACTCGATCTTTGTTCTTCCCAAGTCTCGTGAGTACTGGTCTCCTGGTCTCGCAGGAGACGTTCGTCATCCCAACTGTGAGAAGAAACAGACTCATCCACGTCGGGATTCCCTATTCTTCGTTCGTCCTTGTCGCGGTCCTACTGATCTTCTTACTTCGAAGAAGACGTTCGGTCAACCAACGATCGCAAGGAGGAACAGGTGTATCCACGTCGGGATTCCCTATTCTTCGTTCGTCCTTGTCGCGGTCCTACTAATCTTCTTACTTCGAAGAAGACGTTCGGTCAACCAACGATCGCAAGGAGGAACAGGTGTATCCACGTCGGGATTCCCTATTCTTCGTTCGTCCCTGTCGTGGTCCTACTAATCTTCTTACTTCGAAGAAGACGTTCGGTCATCCAACGATCGCAAGGAGGAACCGGTTTATCCACGTCGGGATTCCCTGCTTCGTCGTCTCATGCTCGTGGCCCTACTAGCCTTCTGCTCTGGCAGAAGGTGTTCGTCGAACCACGGGTCATGGGAGGAACTGGTTTATCTTGCCGAGGTTCCCTTTGGTACGTCTAGCCCCCCCCACGTTCCTACTAGCCTCCGCGTCGGGAGACGTTCGTCATACGCGGCGAAGGAAGATCAGGCATACCTCGTCAAGACTCCCTCTCTCATAGGATCTCGTCTCCCCTTCTCCCCATCTTTTTTTTTTTTTTTTTTTTTTTTTTTTTTTGAGGGAGGAAAATACGTTCATCGGTTCTAAGAATGACCACAAGTGATGTCACACATAATGGTGGTGGGATATCAAAATGAATAGAATGACGAGGCGATGGAAATGCTGGTCGTCATGCGAAGGCGATGGTCACCCTCCTGAAGGGAGGGGTGAGCCCGATCGCTAACTCAAGAAGGTCGGCATTGGGAGCCGATATACAATGATCATAATGTCGCTGAGCAGTCGGTCCTGATAATGGAGATGGCAATAATGTCTGGTCAGGCCGATATATCCGAGCAACGGCTCTCATCCAACGCAGCGCGGGGATGAAACCGGTCTTCAAAAGATAAATATGTCGTGCCGAGAGGCCGAACATAATATGATAGTGTCGGCAGTCAGAGGCCGACCTGAAAGAATCAAACAACGGTCCTCGCCCGCGAGGTGGTGGGGACGAGGCCGGTCTTCAAAAGACAAGCACGCCGGGCCGGGGGGCCGAACATGATATGACAGTGTCGGCAATGAGAGGCCGATCTGAGAAAATCAAGCAACGGCCCTCGTCCGCGAGGGCGGGGACGAGGCCGGTCTTCAAAAGATAAGCACGCCGAGCCGAGAGGCCGGTCGTGGTATAATGGTGTCGGCAATGAGAGGCCGACCTGAGAAAATCAAGCAACGGTCCTCGTCTGCGAGGGCGGGGACGAGGCCGGTCTTCAAAAGATAAGCACGCCGAGCCGAGAGGCCGGTCGTGGTATAATGGTGTCGGCAATGAGAGGCCGACCTGAGAAAATCAAGCAACGGTCCTCGTCTGCGAGGGCGGGGACGAGGCTGGTCTTCAAGTATGGAACACACGCCGTGCCGAGAGGCCGGTCGTGATATCATAGTGTCGGCAATGGGAGGCCGATCTGAAATCAAGCAACGGTCCTCGTCCGCGCAGTGCGGGGACGAGGCCGGTCTTCAAATATGATGATCATGTCGTGCCGAGGGGCCGGTCATGATGTAAGGATGGTCCCACGACCCTCGGCCGTAGTGGTCTCCTCTAGGCCACCGGCTCCTGGGGTGGAGATGCTCGTATCACGGCTCTCAGCCGTGATGGTTTCCTCTTGGCCCTTGGCCTCTGGATGATGGATGATCGTCTCACGGTTCTTCGCCGTGGCAGTTCCCTCCAGACCCTCGGCCTCTAGGTGTTCTTCCTGGGCCATCGGTCTCTGGGGTGGAGATGCTCGTCCCACGGTTCTCAACCGTGGTGGTCTCCTCTTTAGCTGGCCCTGAGCGTCTTTGGGACTTAGACCGAGCGTCTTTTAATCATTTCGCTCGATCACGTCGAGCGGCTTCAGCTGCGCAATAAGCATGGTAACGGGCCGCACGGCCCGACAATATGTATACACACATTACCATCTGCATGGCTTCTCTTTAACATCCACGATTACCGGCCTATGGGCCAACGTGACTCTCGGCCCGGCTCATCGTGCGGGGTTAATGGACGCAGCAGCTCGCGGCGGGGCCAATTAGAAGCCCGCCGAACGTCACATAGAGACATTCATCGGTCAGTGAGTTTTCAAACTCAGACCCAAGTTGGTCGCACTACCCTCGAAAAAACGAGGTTGAGCGCTTCGGTGCCCTCGGGCCCCACAGGCCGCGTTGGCAATAGTCACTTTGCGCCTAATGGCGTAGATGATACTGGGGTACGATCGTCGATCGGGCACGTAGTGCCGTGCTGACTAACGTGCAACCCTCAAATTAAAATGCGTCATCGGGGCACTACCCTCTTGGAGACGCTCAGATCGCTTATCAAAGCCGATCGAGAGTGGGCTAATCGGGCCCACCAACAATTAAACATTTAATAAAATGGTGGCCGAACTAACTATCACTAGAGCTTTACTCACTTGAATTTTGCTCGACATTATTTATTTCGGGACATTTTTATCCCTAATAAATAATGGTGATGAAAATACTAATATCAAAACTAGTATAAATACGAAGCATTTTAACTTAAAAGCATAAGCAAGAGTACTTAGCTTTTAGAATGGACGTTCGGTCAGCTAGGACTCCCTCAAATTGTTTTGATTCTTTTTTGCTTTGACCTGGTCAAAATTCTTCACAACTTTGCTCAAGAGCCAGGACTTGAATTACTCAGCCACTCCTAAGTCCAACGCCTACGTACGTCCAAACCAGGAGGGCCTCGGCTCACTCGAGTTCCCCAACTTGACCCCCATTGCTTGGCCTCATCCTGCAGACGTGGTCTGCTCTAGACCAAAGCCTCTATGCGGAGTACATCTACTAGGAAAGGCAGATGGAACACCCTATCAACTCAGAGGCAGGCCGCACGTGCCGACCACTTTCCGTCGGTGCAGACGGTGGTTGCGGCAGAACGAGACCGGCCAGAGGGCGCGGTTTCGTTAGGAGATCTATTGAGCTTCGGATTCTACTTCCTCTGAGCAGGTGGACGAGCGCCCAGTGGTTGACGGCTGATGTCGAGCGGCGGCGCGGCGGCAGACCTAGCCGCCGGCGACGAGCTACATTGTTACAAACGGAGTTGTTGTATAGACCCGGACGCCAAGAACTGGAACGTTGCAGCGAGTTCCCTCAGGTGCCGGTGGATACCTCGGAAGTTCCATGCCGGAGGGGGCGACAGCGGCGGCTCCGGCGACTTCAAAATCAGGCCTGGAAAAGCATCCAGATTTGGACTTCCCAGATTTCATAGCTTCTTCGTTTTTTCCTTTCCCAGAATCATTTTTTGTAGAATTTTTTCTTCCGAATCACTTTTTCTTTGTTGAAAACCAGTTCATGTGTCATGAATTTTTCGTAGAAACTCAAGAATAGTAGAACAGATGAATCTTTTTGGACAGATTCCCACAGACGGCGCCAGTGTTGAGTTTAATCCAACACGATATAGTAAATATATGTATGAACACTCAGTTTTTACGTGGAAACCCGAAAGGGAGAAAACCACGGGACTTTTTAGGCTAATGTCCAAGCCCTCTCTTTCTCATTAGGACTCTCCTCACCATTACATTGTACAAGCTCCCATTAATGGAGTATTGAGCTAAGTCTAAAAGAAGAAGGAAGATGGAGCTAAAAGAGGATCCATAATATGGAAGCTAAGCTCCCTATTTATAGACAAAGGGGAAGGGGTGCTCTCCACCCTAATGGGCCAAACGGGCCAACATCGGGCCTAAATGGCTAAAGTGGGCCGGATGGGCCGAAATGGGCCTAGCTGCTCGGGCTCCGTACTACGTAAAGCCTTGGACTCATGAACAGTAATAGGCCGGGATAATATATCCCAACACCATGTTAAGACACAGAGTTCCATCCTAAAAGGTCAACCTAATAGGATGAGTAGCGCACATCTTAATATAACACTTTGTTGATTCAAACATTTCCGGTGTGGGATTCTAACAAATACGGAGTACACATTATGACATACTTCCTCCGTTCCCTTTTAATTGCAACAGTCAACATTTCACGTTTGCCAACGCACAAGTTTGACCATTAATATCTTTCATTCCTTATTAGTAAAAAATTCAAAAAAATCATATTTTGAAAATTTAGAATGAGAAGAATTTAATAATATTTTTTAAAAAAATTATTTATAATACATTAATGAATAAAATATAGTCAAAGTAGAATATGTGAATAGTGCAAAAAGTCCAATGTTGCGATTAAAAGAGAACGGAGGATAGTATATAATTAGGGGCCTAGGTTTTGTATTTTGTTCTGGGCTATAAATTGTCCGGTCCGACCATGTAAATTAGGAGTCCAAAATTTTGAATTTTAGTATTTTGAGCTCAGTACAAATAGTCTAATGTCATGCGAATATGGTCCAGGTCTTGGACCACCATAAAGAATACACAAAAGGGCAAATTTGGTGGGGCAAATTTGGTCACCTTTCCAAAGGACATCTAAAGAAAGGGCGATTTTTTTTTTTTATTATATCTAAAGAAAGGGCGAAGGTACACAGTCAAGAGGTGCAATCATATTATTCCATTTCATGCAAACTTCCATATTTTTATTTAGTCCATTATTACACGGATAATAATAAATGCCGCCCTACCCCCCCCCCCCCCCATGCCTGCTAATTAGGTTACACTTCCCATTGCTTATCATGTGCCTGTGCCTAAATTACCAATTCTTACCATCACACTTTCAACATCACCACTTTCAATAAACAAGGAGCTACTTACTGTAAAAGAACTTTTTCCCTACAAGCAAATATGTAATCACAAAAGCTAATTTGAAATGTTAAAAACATGGCCGTAAGACCGTATCAAGAAGCCTATATAAGACCATTTTTCATTATCCAATCGGTCTTGATCTAATATGCATATTGTATTCTCCAGGGCCGGTCCCAAAGAAATGTAGACCCTGTGCGAGAATAAAATTTGGGCCTTTTTCAAGTTGCAGCACAAGCAAATTGTCTTAAAATACAACTTACGAATAAACACAATGATAAAAATAGTCATTAATAACTTACAATTTATTTAAAAAGAGACATTCTTCAAGCATATTTAGATTTACGCAGGTGGATTTTGGGTTGGGGTGTTATACTAAAATTTTTTGGGCCCTTCAAAAATTTGGGCCCTGTGCAGTCGCACAGACATGCCCTGGGCCGGCCCTGGTATTCTCTTTCTTTTTCTTGTTGGCATTCTAGAGTTTACTAATGCATGTCCAATAATGTTTTAAGAAAACTAATGTTTAATTGTCCTAGGATTCAACCAAAATATAATCTAAAAATACATATGGTGTTACTATTATTTTGTGATGCTACTATTATTTTACATTACTAATTATAGATGTAGTGTAGAATTAATTAAAGTCGTTCCATCCGTCATCCTTGGTTGCAAAGCTTTGATTCATTCGAGGAAAAGCCCCACTGTCTCGTTTGTCTACGTTCATGTGTCTCGGTGGACGTAGATCAACTGATGGGTAGAGTGTCATAAGTGGTAAATCTCGAGTTCGAATCTCGACAACCGCCATGCGAAGTTACTATGTAAAAACACACAAGATATGTGCAAGTACTTGAATCGGGGCCCCTTTCACTATATGTGACTCTATGATTAAAGTCCAACTTTATATTCTCCGGGAGTCATCCTTTTTCTAGATGCTCGTGTGTCTAATAAGAGGGTGTTTGGATCTGATTCTCAAAACTGATTCTGCTCCTTCAGGGAGCAGAAGCAGAAGCTGAAGTGTTTGGGTGAAATTCCAGAAGCACTTTTGGAGCTCTAATTTACTCTCAGAATCAGTTTTTTTAGAAGCTGGGGGGTACCAGCTTCTGAAAACTGATTCTGATTCTGCTTCTGCTTTTAAAAGAGAAGCAGAAGCAGAATCAGTTCCAAACACCCCCTAATAATATCTAAATCACTTGGTTGATTCTTAAGTACTTTGGTTTTTTGCTTTATTTTCTTAAAACAATATCAGTTGGGTAATCCTGTCGGGTAATTATAGTGTTTTAATTTGGAAAAGAAAAAAAGTGCGAAAATTAGCTTCTAAGATAATGCTCTATTGAGGTTAAAATGTTGGGCTTGGATGGGTTATGAAAGAAAGATTAGGCCATGGACCGAATTAGATTTATTATACTTCGTACTATACTCGATGCTCGTCCCTGCAATTAAACAGTTGAGCTGGCTTCTGATCCATATAGGCTGGGCTAGGCTTCTTAGCAAATGGATTAGAACACCCCACATGGTCATTAGCCCATGGGTGAATTGATAATTGTACCCTGAAAGTACGATAGAATTTGCATTTATCAAAAATAGCACAATTATTAATGAAATAGAAAAAAATACATGAAAAAATAACTAAAATGATCTTCTACAGCAATTACAGTCAAATCAGCCAAAATGATAGGACTAACATATTTTTAATTACCGCCAAATTTTTGGTAGTACTAGAATATAAATATGACAATATTTTTCAATCCTGACATTTATTACTCTTATTTAGAAAATAAAAACATGACAATCATATTTTAGAATTATCCAACATGCATTTGGTTGAGTAGTTGGGAGCAGTTTGGTGGGCCAAGGCAAAAACTAAAATTCCATTTATTAAAAATGTTGTAATTTTTTTTATTTTTACTCCATTTTTTACAAAAAATACATATCAAATTCATAGTATTTTAGAATCTTTAAACATATTCAACCAATTAAACAAATTTAAGTATTACCAAATGCACTCTAATTTTTTTTGAAAACAAATAATTTAATCATTATTGATAAAGGTGAGAAGAAACAATACAATAATAAAGCTAACGCAACAAGAAAAGCGATTCAGAAGACTCTAGAATTGATATCGGCCTTCGAAATCTTAGCTTCAACCCTCTTCTTCTCGACAGTTTGTTCTCATCTAGATTCTTTTTTGCCTTTTAGTGCTTAGCTTCTCAAAGGCTTCGGTCTCTCTTACCTGCAAATAGAAAAACCCACTCCTACAATCTTGCCGGCCATAAGGTAAAAGGATATGAGGAGGCGATTTCCACGAGCAAGGCCTCTATTAAGAAATTTTCAGATGCTATAGGTGTACTAGCTTCTAATCAAATCTAAATTGGAGGCATAATTGACCGATTCCATGCTTTCCGGTGAAGTGGTGAATGCCGGTTCAATGTGACCGTTTGACTGGCATCAGAGCCTTTAGTGCGACTGCGACTCGTCTTCTCCCCCACTAGTCTTCTTTCACTTTCACTCGGAATGCTTTTCTTTTTAAAAAGAGGTAATTTGGATATTTAAATTATTTTTATTTAATTATGTGGTTGTGAATAACAATTTGGAGGTTGTGAACAAGGTTTTGAATAGCCGTAGCGGTCATCTCGATAGCGGCCATGGCGGCCGCTGCGATGCGTATAGCGGTCGCAACGGCGTGAACTATTTTCACAACATATAATTAATGGGTGATAAAGTTAATAAAAACATTATGAATATTTACATGTTTAATTCAGTTTTAATAATTAAAATTTACATATTTATTAATAGGGATATTTTGACTTTGCACTCCACTTTTTAGTTGATATTGGACTTTGCATCCCATTTTCAAAACTCTTAGACTTTGCACCCCATTTCCTCTAAAATGTCTTTGCCTTTGCACCCCATTGAGGAAATTTTCTTCACAAAATGTTGTAGATAGGGTGCAAAGTCCAATATCAGTCAAAAAATGGGGTGCAAACTCAAAATTCCCCTTATTAATATTTGGTCTCATAATGTATGAGGATATATGTACTTTTAATTTAGAGTTTCACTTCATGCACTACCATTAATGTATTTCACACTATGTACACAATATTTACACATTTACACATCAACCAGTTCGTCATGCATTGTCGGAGGTGCTGGTAATGGCCTGTAGCGGGCAACGTAACAGACTGTAGCGGTAGGGTAGTGGTTATGTAGCGGATATTTCTACGACCGCTATATAGCGGCAGATATAGCCGTTGCGGCCGGGCCGCTATCCATTTTCCTTTTGAGTAATCAAATTAAATAGGGAAAATATCACAAATGGACTTAAAACGGAAATAATATCACGTTTATCATGTTTCAATACTTTTTTCAAAAATAGACAAAACGGACTTTATCTTTCACAAATAGGTGCCGTATGGATAAACTCACCTGATACGCACCTCAGGTTCAAGCGCTTACTGTAATAACAAGCGCACCCGATGTTCAAAGCTTCCAGCTATGCACTCTTTGATAAACTAGTACGGAGTACATACTTTCATAATTCTTTTTTTTTAATAGAAAACAATATGAAAGTTCATAAAATGTATAAAAAAACTAAAAAATATACTACCTCCGTCCCAGGGAGAAGTTCTCAATTTCCTTTTTTGGCAGTTCCAACAAAAAGTTCCCATTTCCTTAAATGGAAAGTTATCCTACATAAAAATAGTGCCAAACAGTGCAAAACAGTGCCAAACAGTGTCGAAACAGTGCCAAACAGTGTCGAAACAGTGCCAAACAGTAAAATTTACCCCTCAGTAATTTTATTTCCTTAATATGTGTGAAAGTCAACCCGGGAACTTCTCCCTGGGACGGAGGGAGTATATTCTAAAACAATATTG